CTGGTTTTGTTTTCAATGCCAATTATTTTTTTTATTTTGGATGCCAAATTTTAAAGTCACCGTCCTGGCTCCATAAGGTTGTGGCTTCCTGCTCCTTCGTTAGGACAGCTACTGTCTGGGAAGAGATTGTAGGCGAGTCCAACGACAAGCGGAGAGGACTGAGCCACTGGATGAAGGGAACCTGTGTATGTGCTCTGGAGTGACTGAGGGCCTCGTCCACCATTTCCAAGAGTTGGGGTCTGCTACATCGGCCTGGTCCGAGAGTGGGGGCTATCCAGAGACTGTGGGATCCTCAGGAGAGACTTTGGGCTGGGTTTATCTATTTTATTATAATAAATCTTGTGTACACTGTTGATTCGACTTGTGGTTTCTAACTCTGCTCACTCCTGATTTTAATTAAGAACCTGTGTTTTCTTAGGAGTCCTAGGCTCTCAAACCTAGGTGGCGTTGTCTGGTTCTTTTTCCAATTAATACATCTTTTAATTTATCATTGTAACTTTAGTTTTCTTTCAGCCTCGCCACATAAAGATGAGGAAAATGTGCAACCAGCTACATTTTACTTACTACTGAATTGTCTCAACTTCCAACTTGTACTTAGCATGCTCACATAAAGCTACCATTACTGTGGGTTTGAGCCAAGTAGAAAATGAACTTTATGACAGCAGAGTTTTTAAAGATGGCATCCTTTTTAAGGGCTAGTGTCTTTTTAGTGGGTGTCCAGAGGCCTTTGAGTACCATCTCAATAAATAGCATTTGAATAAACACTAACTGAATTTTGTCGGATAAAATTTGGATTATATTAGAATTTGGGTGACTTCTTATAGGACAGGATGGAAAATACCATCTCGCCACCTGTCATGTCTGGTGGTTGCTTCCAAAATACAATTGGAGCTTGTTGATTGCAAGGCTGTCGTTTTTTAAAAACCATACTTAACATATACTTAAGCATTTAAATTAACTCTTATTTGACAAATTTGGTATGACTGAGTTGTGTTTTGCACTCCATTTAGCATCCTCTGGTGTCTCTCCGTTTCTGAGAAAGCACTTTGTAACTGAAAAAAAGAACCACACTGATAAATATAAAAGTATGAACCACTGCTCTCCCCTTAATGCAGACTCTTGAGGCTACTTTACTTTCGGTCTACAAATAAAGGGAAAGTTCAGAGTTGAGGTGTTTTTCTCTAATAAGACTTTAATACAATGTTTCATGTCCACAGAGACTAGAGACTTGAGTCTGCAGTCCCACACAGACATATGAAATAATCAGTAATCTAAGTTACTATACACTTATGTTTCTGTTTCAAGTCTCCGTTACACACTCTGTCTGTCCCACTCTTTCTTGGTGAAGTACAGTAAATACTCGATAGCACTGAATTAAAAAGAGACACCTGTCAGACCCGGGTCGTGGTGACCGAATCATGAATCATGTCTGACCCATTCAAAAGAACCGACAGCCCGGGTTTAAACTGACGCTCCCGACAAACGATGACCGCTGGTAACCTCACTGACGTCCCCGCTGCCCCAAGCACGCGCCACCTCCAGTGCACCAATCGCAGACAGAGAGCTGTCCTGACGTCACTCCACAGCTTCCGGGCTGGCAGGGCTCAGATTTACAATTTTACTTCATTTTTTTGATTCGTTTTTTTATGACAGACCTGGACCTGTGATTTATAGCCAAACACACAGCGTTGACAGATGATGCCAATGTAATGCCCGCGCTTTGGTTAGAGGGATAAGGCCCATTCCCGCAGCGACGCAGGCGGAGCGGGTGAGGATAGAGGTGAGGACAGAGGTGAGGATGCATCGCTGTGTGTGTGTGTGTGCTCTGCAGATGTTTAAGAGGGACTGCTTGTTAGCCTCCGGTTCTCCTCCACAGCGCGGCACATCGCCTCCAACGTGCCACGAACCCGTGTCCGACCCTTCAGTGCGTCTTGGTGAATGCGCTGGTTTCAAACGCCAGCAGCGGAGCAGACAGCAGCCGCACTGGTTGGACGAAACCATGAATGCTAGCTGCTAGCTGCTAGCTGCTAGCATGTCTTTGAGCTGTCCGCTAGCCGCTAATCTTGATGCTGCTTCGCTAGCCTTTTATCGCTTCAGACGCGGTCCGCATGGAGCCAGACGTGTCCTGCTATGAGCTGATTATAACGACAACTGACTGCTTACGTGGTTGGGGAGTTGTGTCTAATCACACAGCAATGTGTTGTGATCTTATCCGACGTTGATGGCGATTATGTCAACTAACGACACACGAATCAAAACATGATCGATAGGATCGTTTCTGTGGCTCCACTTAAAGAGAGACCTGAAGCACAGAGGAGATAACAGTCCAGTAAATGGGTTAGAGAAGAATATACGACCTGGGGTACATAAAAGATGACGCATTATCTTAACCTTGGGAATAAGAAGATGGGAATGTGTGAAATGTTGACTAGATTCAAATCATATAGAGAGAGAGGTTGTAATGAAGCATCATGCTATATCCTGATGCTCCCTCGGGTACTGGCGCTGTAGATCAAATAGATTTAGTATCAAATAAGAGCTAGATCACTCTGGTGTGGTGAGTAAGGCTGAAAGCTTCAGTGCTCACTGAAATGCTGTTTTAATTTGAGGTGTGTGTCTGTAGTGTGTTTGCTCAAATTCCTGCCCTTGGGTTACAATTGAGTAAACTTGCCTGTTTGCACATAGTTCTGTAGGTACAGTAGTATTGCACTGGTTGCAGAAAGCTGGGTTTAATCCATTGTTTAACACTGCGCTTTACATAGCAAATCCTTATGCATCTGTTAACGCGTGGGTTTGTGTGTTCCATGCGTATTGATTTCTCTCCAAGTGAGCCTTTTGTTGGTTTGATAACGTGTCACATTGTCGTTAAAATTGTTCTTGGTTCGTTTTATTTAAAGTGAAGTGCATACTGACTATACCTGTATTACAAGTGCCACCCAGTGAGCGTTCACCCTCTGTCGTGCCTGTGCCTTCTTCGTGCATTTGCTCAACCCAAATACAGTAGACGTGTGTCAGTTGGTTGTGGTATGTGAGTTTCTGCAAAACAGGTGGGACATGTTCACCCTCCAACTGTAATTGCTCAATCGGTTTATGCAGCATGTCTTTAGATGAATGAAAGTAAAGCCAGCCGCTGTTCTAGTTGGAGCTGAGACAATTTGCATTCCTATAAAACCCTACGCTCAAATTACAGAGAGGAACTGAATTGGCCTATTTCACGTAGCAGCCCTAGATAAAGTCTGATAACGCATATGGATAGACGTACCCATGCACTCACTTTCAAATAATTGTGTTTTAGCTCTGATGCAGGGCACACAATTAGCCACCAGCCAAATGCTGGGAAAATAGGCAAGTGGCTGGAATATTTGCTGCACTCACCAGAACCATGGCCACTGGAGCACAAGAGGGTGGGGCAGTGCAGGTGACCAGTACTGGGAAGCCCTAGTTGGCTCTTAACACTCACCAATATTGTAGCTTGTGTTTGCATAAGGCGAGGACCAGCCCACCTCATGATCGGTCAGTGTTACATTCTTCTCAGTGCTGTTACATTAGCTGGCCAGGTTATGCTAACCTCCCATGTGACCAGTGGACTTCTCCTTCTAAGCTGCAGAATGAGTCACTGCCGCTACTTCTATCGTGCTCGGGCTCAGTGGCTACAGGGCCTCAATGCAAATTACCCTCTGGCCCTAAGATACACTGCAAATAGCTCAGCTCTCCAGGAGACGGTCGGAGTTGATCCAAAAGTTTTTGTAGTACAGCCAAACAAGTGAGAGCAGTAACGAGTAGAGCACATGGTATGATACCGTAGTGTCAGACGTTATTATACCTCGTGATATATGTTGCAAACTAAGGGTGAGGAAGAGACGGTGTTTCCAGAAATTGGTGATGCAATGTTTTCTTGGCTTCAGTGCAACTGCTGCTTGATTCAGCCGCATGTATTAGAAAGTTAGTATTAACTTTGTCTACAAATTGTATAAAAAATAACAGACTAACAACAACAACAGCAAATGAAAAACAGGAAAAACATCAAACTTCTCATGGAGGAGGAATAAATCTTAAATCTTGACAATGTTAAGTGCTTTTTAAATGTGCTGATGCGTCTTTATTCCAGACTATACTTCTAAAAATGTAAGTTGTCTGTCTGTCTTGCAGGTCTGGCTGTCTTGCTGCACAAAGGAACCACCGCCTGCAACCTTCAGGCTCAGAGGAAAGTCAAAATATTTAAGGAGCAGTGACGCTGCTTCTGGTTCACCTCCAGCATTGACTTGATCCTCCAAGATGAAGTTGAAGGAGGATATGAATCCCCTGCTTCTGCAGGTCTTTCGCTCTGTGGTTTGGGTCTACTCTGTCATCACCTTCATACCATGGTACTTCTTCTCCGGAGCTGGCAGCAACTTGGAGCGGGCTCGCCGGATCAAGGCACGCTCAGTGAGTAGACACCCAGCAGGGCCTTACAGAGCCATCAACAACCAAGACAAGCTGGTGGCATGGCAGCACCCCGGTGTGGACACCCTGGACAAAATGTTTGAATATGCTGCAGTGAGGTTTCCGCAGAGAGACTGTCTGGGCACCAGGGAGGTGCTCAGTGAGGAGGATGAGCTCCAGCCTAATGGCAAGGTCTTCAAGAAGGTGAGAGACACTGACCCTCGCACACATGCAACAGACAGTGTATCACCTTGTTTCATTAATCTATTCAATGTTTCAGTCTGTTGTCGGGAGCAAGGATACAGTCAGTGGGTGGTAACGATCGTCACATTCAGGTTTAGAACTGTATAAAGTTTCAGGTTAATCTGTGGGATTACAGGAAGTTGGCATGTCTGTGAGGCTGACTGCACAGTCTACCACTGTGCACAGTGTGAGGAATGTGGGTGGAAGAGTGTTACTGGTCCTTTGTCTCACAGCAGAGTCTACTCATTAACACCTGCATGGTGACAAAAGCCCTCTAGATGGCGCTAACTGACTGCTTATGAGGGATGGTGTTGTATGACTGGTAACATCAGACCTCCTTCAGATTCAACCATGTCAGAATATTGCATGTTGCCCATGTTATATTCTAATACAGAACAGCGCTCATATTGATTCCATCAACATGGATAATGTGGGTGTAAGGTTCCTAAAATCATTTAAGCATTTTGTTCATATTTATTATTGACTAAAACTGCATCTGAAAACGGGCTCTGAAGCAACTGTAGAATGTATGCACATGCATCAGGTTTCATGTTCGGTGCAGAATGTGGAAATAATCCTGAATATTGCATGCTCCTTTTGCATGTCGCGTGCAGGTAATTCTAGGGAACTATAACTGGCTGTCCTACGAGGAAGCTTATCATGCGGCAAAGTGCTTCGGCAGCGGCCTGGCAGCTCTCGGCCAGAGGCCCCAGTGTAACATCGCCATCTTCTGTGAGACCAGAGCAGAGTGGATCGTGGCAGCACAAGCCTGCTTCATGTACAATTTCCCACGTGAGTGACACACAGACACGCACGTGCATTCAGACAATTTTGGAGCCGCAGCAAAGCAACGACTGACCATCTTAACTGCGTTTGAATTTGACAGTCGTGACCCTGTACTCCACTCTCGGACCCACGGCCATCTCCCACGGTCTGAACGAGACCGAGGTCACGCACATCGTCACAAGCAAAGACCTGCTTCAGAGCCGCCTCAAGGTACCCGCTCTGAACTTTAATATGTCACTGAATTACAGGTTGTTTATTGTGTGTAACATTAGTACTCGCTAGGAAGCTCACCTTTATTTGCATTATTACTTTTTCCTCTCACGGGCCCATCTCCCTCCCTTCTACATCTACGTCACAGGCCATACTGTGTGACGTGCCGAGGCTGCAGTATGTCATCGTAGTCGACAGTAAACCCACGAGCTGGCCCAACATCCCCAGAGGCATTATGATCTACAGCATGGACGCCGTGAAGGAGATGGGATCCAAACCTAACAATAGTGAGTGTTCGTGCAATATGATTAAAAAGGTTTCTAATTTTGTCAGGGGAAATGGAAGTACACTGATTGAGGCTTAATACAAAGCCAACACCCTGATGTGTGATTGGAGTGATGTGCTGTGCCTGACAGAGGCTGAAGCAGGAGGTCGAATCAAACTCGCCAAACGCCACAATGTCACAATGACATTAGTCGACTTTTCAGGAAAATGAGGAGAAACAGAAATTGTTTGTGCTACGACTATCAATTCACTACACTATAATTTACTTACAGTATTTGATAAAGAAAATAACATATTTTAAAATCTTCAAATGGAACACACAATATACATGTAAAATATTAACTTTAATAACTAAAAATAGTTGCAGCCAAATTTCCTTCACAATCACATAGAAAACGATATATAAAATAATCTGAACCTTGTATGCAGTAAGATTCATTGAAAGAGGGAATCAATGATTGAGTTATAAGCTTTATATAATAGTGATAGATAGGGGGTTCAGAGTATAGATATGATATAGATATAGATAGATATAAATCAGATAGATAATAGATAGATAGATATAGATAGATAGATATATAGAAAATGATATATACGATATAGATAGGATAATACTGATATATCTATATCTTATATTATATCTATTCCTTATATATCTTTATATATAGAGTATATATATAGTAGATATATAATAGTATATGATATATAAGATATATATTATATAGATATATAGATAGTATATAGATATAAGAAGTAGATAGATAGATTATGATAAGATAGATAGATAGATAAGTAGAAGATAGATAGATAGATAGATATAGAGTAGAGAGATTAATAGTATATAGATAGAGAGATATAGATATAGATAGATAGATTATATAGATATAGATATAGATATATTGATTATATTTAGGTTATATTATAGATATATATATAGATTATAGATATATATAGATATATTATATAGACTATTTATAATATAGATATTAGATATATATATACGCTATATATAGGATATCGATATAATATATATATAGATATAGATATATAAGTATACGATATAGATATCATAGTATCATTATAGATATAGATATATAGAGAGTATAGATAGAGATAATAAATAATAAAGATTATGAATACTATCGTAGATATAGAAGTATATAGGATAATAGATATATTTAATAGATATACTATATCTATATTATTAATATATAACTTATATATATAATATATAGATAGATATATTAAATAGATAGATATAGATAGATTATAGATAGATATATATATATAGATATAGATAAGATATTATATATTATTATATAGTATACTATTATATATATATATTAGATTATTATATAATAGCTCATATAAGATTATATAGATATTAGCCTATATATAAATTATATAGATATTATTAGATATAATATAGATAATATATATAAGATAATATAAGATATAAGATATTATAGATTATATACGGATATATACTAATATATAGAGAGGAGAGAGAGAGAGAGAGAGAGAGAGAGATAGATATATATATCTATATATAAAAGATGAGAGAAATAACCAGCAACATATTTGAAAATCAAGTGATCAAATGGGGTAATCATTTGATCACTTGATTTTTATCTTTTTTGTATAATTGTAAATTAGATAGCTTTGGCTGTTGCATGGTTGGTTGAGCCAAACAAGCATCTTCACTTTTTTATGGATTAAATTAATTAAGAAAATAATCAATAGCTCAATTGATAATGAAATCATTCATTAGTTTCAGCCCTACAGTAAAATATGCGGACCCTCTCACATCATACAGTACAGATGTTTGAAAAGCAGCAACTTATTTTAACTGTATGTTTCTGTATTTTAATGAGAAAAAGTGTCCTCCTAATAACTCATTTTTACAACTAATGAAGATATTTATATTGTTGTGCGATCCATTTCCTCTCTAAACACCACCCGTCTGTCTCTGCAGTGGCAGTAGACCGCAGACAGCCAGAGCCCTCGGACATCGCCGTCATCATGTACACCAGCGGCTCCACAGGCATCCCCAAGGGTGTCATGATCTCCCATGGCAACATCATTGCTGGAATCACTGGCATGGCTGAGCGGATTCCAAACCTCAAGTATGCCAAACACAGATTTACGGCTATTTCTCTGACACTTCCTGTCCTCTTTGTCTTGTGTTGTGCAACTCTCCGGCTCGTGCTCTTCCTCCTCTCCGCACTGCTTTCCTCAGACACTCAGTTACCCTTTGCGCTCTTTGTCATTTCCCTTTGTTCTCTTCTTTGTCTATTGTGGAAATTAACCAGCTGTTATTTTTGTGCCGGCAGTGAAACAGACACCTACATTGGCTACCTGCCGTTGGCTCACGTTTTAGAGCTCAGCGCTGAACTGGTGTGCATCTCACATGGCTGTCGCATCGGCTACTCCTCCCCTCAGACTCTAGCCGACCAGGTCAGTGTATAAAAGCACAATCGTACAGCGTTGGCAGGGTTTTGTTGCTGTCTGTAGATCGGTTTCCATCCACCTGTTTTCTGTACATTTTCAATTTGTGCATAACAAAAAACTCAGTGGAAGGAAAAGAAAATCTTGTACCTGCTTCTTCTGCAATGGTTTAATGTCACCTGGAAAATTAGCGACACCAGCTGTAATGAATGTAAATTAATTACAATGTAAAATGCGTTAATTAATTTTCTCCTGGATGCATTACAGATATTACTAAGACTTGAACCCTCCAGCTAAGCAATTGTTTTGTTTCATTTTCACAGTCCACCAAGATAAAGAAGGGCAGTAAAGGGGATACTAGCGTGCTGAAACCTACTCTCATGGCTGCTGTACCAGTAAGTGTTTGTGTCTCTGCACAAGCCCATCAATCCAATTTAACTAATGTCATTTATCATACTACAGTCAGACCTTGAAATAAACAAATAGCATGAATAACAAATAACAGCCATATGGGCATATGGACTTAAAATGTCAGTGTTAACTGAGTTTTTTTCCCACCTGATGCGTGCAGGAGATCATGGATCGAATCTACAAGAATGTGATGACCAAAGTGGAGGAGATGAGCAAATTCCAGAAGACGCTCTTTGTGCTGGCTTACAACTACAAGATGGAGCAGATCTCCAGGGGCTACAGCACACCTCTCTGTGACAGGTAATACACATATCATATTCATACATACAGTACATGAGCAGAGTACAGCGAAGCCCGTTCGGTTGACATTTGCTTCCCCTGTGATACTTGAGCACACATTAACCTCTGCTAGAACATGGCTAATCATAACCTAGAGCCAATACTTGTTAACACTGTGTCCCTTACAAAGGGGAATGGTTCTCTAACATATGTGAATCATTGTATAGCACTGATTCGTGTAAGTAGTTCTACAGCAAAGTCAATATCTAGATGCAATGTAGATTTATTCCTAACTCTGGAATGGTCTAAATTACTTATTCTGCTGTCTGTTTTTCATTTTTGTCCTCTTCCTCCCCCTCAGTCTGGTGTTCAAAAGGGTGCGTGCACTCTTGGGAGGCAACACGCGGGTGCTGCTTTCTGGCGGGGCTCCACTCTCGGCTGCCACACAGCGCTTCATGAACATCTGCCTGTGCTGCCCTGTGGGCCAGGGCTACGGCCTGACAGAGACCTGTGGAGCTGGCACCATCAGTGAGAGTAAGAGAGAGAGCGGTTGTTTTTTCTACCCTATGTGGTAAAGGAGCAAATGTAAAGAATTTAATTTAATGTAGTTATTTGCCAATGCTACGTCATGACTTTTTTGCTGGTGTTTTTTCAGTGTGGGACTACAGCACAGGACGGGTTGGTGCTCCACTGGTTTGCTCTGAGATCACACTGAAGGACTGGGAGGAGGGTGAGTCAAGTGGCAGCTTTAGAGAAGGCGAGCCAGCGCATTGATATTTTGTATCTAATCAGGTTTGTGCTCCTCTAGGTGGTTACTACAGCACAGACAAACCCAACCCAAGGGGGGAAATTTTGATTGGCGGTCCCAACGTGACGATGGGTTACTACAAAAATGAAACCAAGAACCGCGATGACTTTTTTGTGGATGGGAACGGCCAGCGATGGTTCTGCACCGGAGACATCGGAGAGTTCCACCCTGACGGATGCCTCAAGATCATTGGTAAGAGAGCCACCAACCAGTGTGCGTGTGTGGTTGTGGTACAAGTGGTACATGTATTGGGATTGTGACTTGTGTTCTCTTTCAATAGACCGTAAGAAGGACCTGGTGAAATTGCAGGCAGGCGAGTACGTCTCTCTAGGAAAAGTGGAGGCTGTTCTGAAGAACTGCTCACTCATAGACAACATCTGTGCCTACGCCAACAGGTATAATCCTCTACACACTTCCTCTGAATCGGTTTCCTCCAGACTATTAGCGAAGTTATTTTTTTTTAATTCACATTAAAATTCCAGACGGTGTCTTTAGCTATAGCTTCATTTCTCACTCCTTAATGGTGAATGAACTAAACTTGTGATCCTTTTTTTAGTGACCAGTCGTACGTGATCAGCTTTGTGGTGCCTAACCACAAGCAGCTAATGGCGGTGGCAGAGCAGATGCAGGTGAGGGGCACAATGGAGGAGATCTGCAACAACCCCCAGATGGAGAAAGAGGTCCTCCGCATCATCACTGAGGCTGCTATATCAGGTAGGGGGGACAAATGCTTTTCTGTCTCCCTCACTTATATTCAGCCCTGCTTATGCACTCAGAGAAAATCTGATTAAAGTTGTGCAACTAGTGGTACACTCTTTGTCACATTATCAGCTCAGATTTGGTGCGATAGTGTCTGCCTTGTGCTACACTTGCACTTGTACTTCACTGTATCTGTCACTCTGACTTGTGAATCTGCTCCCCTCCCCCTCCAACTAGGAAAACTGGAGCGATTTGAGATCCCCAAGAAGATTCGTCTGAGTGCTGAGGCCTGGACACCAGAAACTGGCTTGGTCACTGACGCATTCAAACTAAAACGCAAGGAGCTTAAAACACACTACCAGGAAGACATTGAGAGGATGTACGGTGGAAAATAACCCACAGACACACTCCAAAACAACACGGAAACACATACACATGTATACTTGCACACATACACAAGGAGCTCAGAAGCCACTACCAGGGCTACTTGCAGAGGAGTTCAACTTAAGATAACGTTAACACTCACACACATTAGTACAGACACATAAAGCGCCTCATGCACCACCTCCTCGGCTTCCCTGCGACCAGCTTCGATCAACAGAGGGAGGGGAGGGGGTGAGGGAGAAAAAAACAAAACTGAATCCACGCTAATGCTCTCTTTCAAGACAGAAGGCAGAAAGGTCCCACACAGACTACTGAAACCCACCAGAACGGGCCACGTGCAACGCAATCGCGCTCATCCTTGACTGATCTTGCCTTTTAAGTTGCTATGACAACCGAGGCGGCACACCGGAGTCAGACGTCTGCATGACTCGAAGTGAAACAAAAGTTCAGGGCCGATTGTATCGGATCAGTGTCAGCGCACCCTCTCTGTTGCTTCTTCCTTCTCTACCCCCTGCCCCTTCCACCAGTTAGCTATAGGTCTTGGACTGGCAGTGCAGATTACCTGGCAGGGAATGGGGTCGCATGAGCCCGATAGAGGGATCCCGCCTGGGCTTTAAGTAACATTCAGGTGGAATCTATTGCAGGGATATCATTAAATCTTTTTAATTGATGTTTATTTTGGGGTTTTTTAAATGGGTGCTATGTTTCCTCCATGTTTTAGCTTATGGCTTTGAAACCAATTTGATGAGTGTTTTTTGTGTGTGTAAGGATTTGGTGGCCATGAGAGATTGAGCATTATTAAAAGAAACTTTTTTTTTTTCACTGTTATTTTATGGGTGCATTATTCTGAGGGTTTTTATTTCTTTTATCCTCCTGTTTTTTTATTGCCAATTTGTTTACGCTAATTATATTTAATGAACTTTGTTTACTAGCTTTTTTTTTTTGTCTATATCTCCCCTTATTTGCCATTCCAATGTGTTCCAAAGTTTGTACTTTTTGAGTGTGTGTTTACTGACTTGACAAGTAGAAGTCTTCAGTCCCTTCTGCTTTCGGCCTTTGCAGCAGGGTCAGACATCAATTGTAAAAGGCAACCATTGAGAATTTTTTCCATTCCTGCTCATTACCCCGCCCCCCCCCCCAAGCTCTAAAACTGTTTTCAATGTCTTAGCAGCCCCTGGATGCCTCCCAACCTGTGTCTTATTGGTTATTCTGTTGGTCCGTTGACATACCGTAGCCCTACCACATCTGCCACGTATTCCTCCAGTCATGACCAATGCATTGCATGGACGTCTCCAAGGGAACGTAGCCTGTAGGAAAATAGTTAGCCTTCAGTTGTTTATTCCTCCCGGTTATTGTACATGTTATCCTTTTTTTGCCATAGGTTACGATTACATAGCTGCTGTTACCTTTTTTTACTTCTAAATATGAAATATAAAATGAATGTGCAATATTTATACACAAATTTTAAAAAGTATGTAGGAAGGAAAAACGCACATACAGAAGCCCCTCCATAGTGTATGAATGTTTAGGCCTGTCCACTTCAGTGCATATTAGAAGACTTGTAGGAACATCAGCATAGGAATAAAGAAGAGGATCGTAGAGAGACACTGACAGGGAAGTCTAGACGTAGCCCACTTGAACGTACTGTGCTAAACAATGTAATGTCCTTTTTAATAAGACTGTAAAGTGAAAAAATCTCATATTTGGCATTGTAGAAATTGCATGATGAAAAGCGTGCAACTGTACCCAAGCGCTTGAATTCGCATTTGAGAGAAAAACTTATGACCACAACTCCTTATTTAATAGTGAGTAATATAGCAAAAGCTCACTTGACCTCATAGAGTGCTAGTAACATTTCTGTGTCTTCAATTTGGTTTATGTGTGTGATACTGTATGTGCAATGTATATAAAAAGGTCAACTGCCATTTATTTAAACTCTTGTACAACATTATATACATTTATTACTGTAGGCTTTCAGATTGGTGGGGATATTCTCTGTATGGACACTCTTACTTCAGTCTTTATTTCTTCTCTCAATGGGCAGAAGATGAAATAATGTTTGGTCAGTGGTCCTTTGTAAGGGCAACATCTGTCCCACAGCTGACCTCTCGGAATGCAAAAATCCTGCTTTGCATTAACTGAAGACATTTAGCATTGAACAGGTACAGGCACTCACTCTAACTACTTTTATCATATGTCTACTGGCTCAACGCAGAAGGGGGTTATTTTAGCATGTACAAATTTGACAAACGCCGTCATGACGAGGTGGGAACTCATTCCTCCCTGTTTTTTTTATAACGTGTCTCTCCTGACATTTCAGTGGAAAGTCAGTAGCTTAATGTGCTGTTTTGCTGCTTTTCCTCTGCCTGGCTAGAGGCGGCTAGTTGCCTTCTGACACACATGAGCTGTCTTCAGGGGTCTTAAGAATGTGAAACGCTCCCTGGGTTTTTGTTGATAGCACACATGCCCATGTCCTAATACACCCATTTGTACATCCAATGGCGAGGCAAAGACAGCGGTTGGTACGAAGATGAATTTTTACCTCCGCTGTTGTTGTTTTTTGCTTGTGTTGTAAATAAATTGAGAGAGGAGGGGATCAGTGATCAAACTACATTCAATCTACCAATAATTGTACAGTTGTAAAGTATCCTACTAACATATTTAATAATCTTTGTTACTGACCATTTTTTGGGGGGGGATCTCCTCCTTGTTTTGTGTGGTTAAATGACCCAGCAAGTCAGGTTATTGCAAGTGTCTCCTTCCTTTATTTATTTGTGATTTGGCCTTGAAAAATATGTAATGAAATAAAAAAGTTTGTGTTGTAATTACTGTCACTGCTGCTTTGTGTGTTTTTTAGAGGTGTGTCGGTGCGTGCTTAACACCTGAATGCAAATCTGTAAGGCACAATGTGTGACTGATACAATCAGCAGCTTGATTAGAATCATCCTGAAACCAGAGTTTCTATGGCAACGAAGGCCAGTGATGTCAGTGCGTGTGTGTGTGCTTGAGCGAATGTGGTCTGTGAGAGACTGTGTGGTGCGTCGATGCAAATGGAACATGCAGTTCTGGGAGTCAACCTTCAATCAGAGCTAGTAAACAAAGGATTTTCTTTTCCTTTCAGTATTTTTCACAACAACGCTGAGTCAAAGACGTGCAATCGATTCATTTATTAAAAGGAACAAGCTCAGCTCACTGCTCCTTCCGCGTACACCTGCTATCCTGCTGCCATACGTATTTGAATAAACCTGGGTCCAGCATTTTAACACACTTACACACTTACACACTTCTTAGGATAAAGAGGATCGATTCATCTCAGATATTAGGCCCTGATTTACACCAGTGTTTAGTTCCAGCTGTAGATGTTCATTATGAATTAATCTACAGATTTTTCAATAGTGAAACACAGCCATCACAGTTTCCCAGAGCCTAAGCTGACATATTTAAATTACCTTTTTTTGTCGGACCGAGGTCCAAAAGTTAGTTTACTATCATAGAAGACAAAATATTGAAATTTGGAAAGCTTCAGAATGCATATGAAGCTATAACACACATTACATTGAGCTTAGTACTGGATCTTTAACAAACCACTCACATAAAAAAAAGAAAACATGGGTGGTTAAAATCCTGCATGGTGGTTCCGCCTGCACTGCTTTTGCATTTCATTTAAAATAAAACAGTAGCTACAAGACCACAGAGAGATGAGTGATTCTTCTAACCCCTCCTCTCGTCTGTATTCCCTCCATCCAACCCTATGGGACTGGAGAGTGCGTCAGAGGCATAATGCTCCCTTCATTAGCCCACTGATTCTGACGCAGACACACACACACACACACACACACACACACATACACACGGAGTGTCTCTACCACAAAGACAACAACAACAACGGCACCAAGCAGCAGGGAACTGTGAAGGACATCTTCCCTATTGTATGAATGTGGTTTGTGTGTGTGTGTGTGTGTGTGTATGTGTTTCTTTGCTTGCCTTCTCATTGCTCTCTGACACTTTATTCCAACTTTTTTATATCTCCTACTCTCTCTCTCTGTCTCCCTTGCTTGCTTCTTCTTCCTGTCTACTTATGACTCAGAAGTGCGCAAAAAAAAAACTTTTATCAGTGTGTGCACACTCCAGTGTGAGCCAATAAGCCATGTTGGAGTTTACCCAAGGATGAGCGGAGCTGAACCGGAGCTGCCTCATAACTCTGGAGAGGTGGGTGGTGGCTGGAGAAAACTGAGAATAATTACATCTGAGGCTGAAAGATGGTGGTACAGGGAGGACTGGGACTCACATATGACGTTGGACTGTTGAAATGATATATAAGACACAGCAAAGTACAGTTAGAGATATGAGGTGCTGCTATCTCACCTTAAATGAGTGAAAGACGAAACCAAAATTGCCTTAGTACATAAAAGCAAAATGCCCAGCAGTTATATACTATATATATATATAGATAGATATATATATATATATATATATAGAGAAAAAACACCAATATATATAAATGAGACATTTTTCTTTTGATGTACTAAGGCAATTTTGGATTTCAGTCTTTCACTCCATTTAAATGTGAGATAGCAGCAATTAATCACTGGAACAAGCAGATACAGAATATATTTCTTGTTATTTGATGTTAAAGAGGAAAACATGTTTCATCTGACTTTGAAGTTACTTTGGGGGCATTTACGGAGAAAGCATTGGCCACATTTCCTCATCATCTAATTGGAAAGTTAGTGAATGTGATGCTCTACTTTTTGGTTGACTGTGTCTCCCATATTGTGCGCACTCCTGCTGATTTTGTTTTTGGTCATGAAGTGTCAGAATGACCTTTGGCTGCAGCTCAGTAACACAGGCTGCACCATGCAAGGCACGGGCCCCGGCTTAGCTCAGCTGGGGCATCATGACGCGAGGGCCAAAGTGGAGGTGGGAAAACGTGTGAGGTCTGGCAATGAGCTTGAGCAGAGAGGGAGAGAGCGAGACACGAGGGGGAAGATAGGAGAAGAGTGGGGAAGGGTGGGGTGGATGCTGTGTGTAAGGATGGAGAAGCAGAGGGAGAGGCAACCGATATGTCTCAGCGATGACTCACCGATGCTGGGTATTTATAGCATCAGGAGGGAGGGAGGGAGATGTGGGGGCGGAGGAGCGAAGGGGGCAAACGGTTTGGGAGGCGGCCAGGACAGCATCATCACACCGCCGACAGGGAGTGGTGGAGGGAGAGACAGAGACC